AGCTTTCCACAGGCAGACATTGTGAAGGTAACCCAGGCAGCATGAAAACAAAAGGCCTATTCTCTCTCCATTCCATTCTTCTTTCACAAGAAAGCTGTGATTCGGATGACTTGTGTGAGTCAGCCAGGTAAGGTTTCCCCGTTAAGCAAACTGCCCTTTTCATGACGGCTCATTGATTAGATTTCTCATTCCACAGTCAGATGTCCATCTCAGGGTATTCTGTTGAATTCAAGGTACACAAACATGGGGGAAGCTATCTTAAAAACCGTTTGGTTTTGTGAATACTTCATTTGAGTATTTACTGCCATGGGTATCCAAGGGAGAAAAAAAAGCTCTCGTAAAAACAACAGATAATTGCCACACCAGACCACTTTAGAGCTATGTTCTTTTTTTTTTCCTATTTAAATCAATGGAGTTGATTCTCCACTGATTTGAGGTGAAGAACCTCTGGCAGTTGGGATGTTGGTGAATTACTTCTCTTAGCCTCCTCATCCAGGCTGATTAATGGCAAAAGCCACTGAGAATTATGCTTCAGAAGTATCTAGCAAGCCATACCTCTACCATTCCTGAAGTAGTACTAAAAATGCTGTAGTTCTAAAAACAAACAGAATGGAATATAAACATACCTGTTGTTGAAGATCCAAAGAGAATCCAGTGATGGATTAATGTTGTTTTTTTTCCAGTCTGGACAGTTCCAAGCCTTTAAGGTAAAGGTAAAGGTTCCCGTCACACATACGTATGTGCTAGCCGTTCCCTACTCTAGGGGATGGTGCTCATCTCCGTTTCAAAGCCGGAGAGCCAGCGCTGTCCAAAGATGTTTCCATGGTCATCTGGCCGGCATGACTAAATGCCGAAGGCACATGGAACGCTGTTACCTTCCCACCAAAGGCAGTTCCTATTTTTCTACTTGCATTTTTAAATGCTATTGAACTGCTAGGTTGGCACATGCTGGGACAAGTAACGAGAGCTCACTCTGTTATGCGGCGCTAGGGATTCAAACCACCGAACTGCCGATTTTTCTGATCGACAAGCTCAGTGTCTTAGCCACTGAGCCACTGCGTCCCTCATTATAACCTTAAGGAAGGGAAATAAGAAACTGATCACTGACAGAGAAGGAACAATATGGGGAGCCTATATGAGTGCCCTGTGCCTTTTCAAAGGATACTTTTAAAATATAACTCTTTCTTTTTGTTTATGACTTCCCAATACATGCAGTCTTAATCTTGTGTATTTCACACACATTTTTAATTACTGAAGAAGAATCCTTTCTGTGCTATGATTGACTCTACTTTGTTGGATTGTTCAAATCTGCATCCAGAATAATCAAATCAAATAGATTTCTTTCTTTCATTCATTCATTTCCAATAACATGGCTCTTCCTCAGGTAAATAATAATTTCAGGTAATACTGCAAAACCAAATCATTTAAGAATATATTTTGCAAAAGTTCTATATATGGAAAATGCAAATATTGCAAACCTGATACTGCATTGGAAAAAAAAAAGATCAATTCCTGGTTATTTTTAAAAAAGCAACATACAATGCTAAACATGGTACTAAATTGAAATATTTTCCCCTTTTAATTATATCAAGGGTGTGATATGTTCTGTAACCTGACCCTAAAATAGGCTGGATGCTATAAATGCAGAATAATTGCAAAATGAAAGTAGGAATTTTAGTTATGATTATATCAAGAATAAAATATCACGTTAACATAGCTTTGAGAACTATTGGCAGAGGAATGTGTTGTTTCACATCTCACTCTGAACGTGACCTAATCTTACATTTTAAATCTTATGAGCAGTGTTTTCAGTCTCTTGAATCTCAGGGTAGATTTTACATATTGAAAATCGGACTTAGTTTTTCACCAAAATATTGATTTTCATTAACAATCTATTCTACTTATCTGAAGACTATGCTCCTTTGTTCCCGTAAAGGTGGCAGGAAACAATCTCTTCCTGTAGCATCTCTTTCCCTTTCCTGATGTCCATCTCCTTTCCATCTAAAATCTAGAGAAGTTGAGAGAGGGAAAAATAATAGACAAAATTGCTACGAAAGTGATGACAGTCAAAATCCCCACTATTGCTGCTACCAATGATGGAAGCCCTACCAAATGTTCTAAGCCCATTTCATTTTCTTTGGCTTGGATTCTATTTTTCCCACCCACTTCCCCTTAGGACAAAATATCAACTGTTTCACCTTATTTTTGATAGTATCACAGAAGAATGAAAATAGGAGATTCAATGATGTCCACAAATGAATGAATTGTTTTCGAAAAGAAACCTGTTCAGTCAGGAAAAATGTAGATAAGACATGTAAATTTCAGAGTGGATGTCTGTCTGTCCATCCATCCATCCATCCCTCCCTCCCTCCCTCCCTC